CATGCACTTTATAATTTTCTACGGCGCGCAGAATTAGTAACGCATTTAATTATGAAATCTGTACAGATAAGACACTCGTAATTTGTTTTAATATCTCTACATGGATATGTAGATATTTTCGTGTTCTCTTGTTTAGATATTTTCATTTAGTTTGTGTTATCCCGGACCTCGGTAATATAAACCTTTTTTATTTTGTTTTGTGTGTTTGTTATTAAGTGGGTAATATTTTCATAATTTAGAACATCTATGGATGTGACGAAAGAGTGGATTCCTCTCAATACAGGTTACTTAAACTTAAAGAGAGAAATTCTCAACTACTTGTAACATTCGTACCTACTAAGTGTCAATAAAATATTTTTCATTTTCATTTTCACATGGAATAAATTATTCAACGATAAGCTACAGTATTTCTTTCAAATTCTCACTATTCGGGCATAATCAAATAATAATGTAGATTCTGGACAGAAATAGCTATTTGTGATGCAAGCTTTCTGATGCAAAATACAAGAAAACAAAAATCAAATATTGTATCAAACATTCGCGATGAAACTTCTATACGAGGTGTAACTTGGAATGTATGGGGAATAGCGCGAAAATGTGGTTAGCGAGTGCAGTGTGCCTACCATGAGTTTACGTTAGGTGTGCTCGCTAGCGACTGCGTAAAAAAATGACATTTAAATGTATGACATATTGTGCAGCGCCTCTAGCGGCTACTTTCAAGAAATAAAATCTTCATAGAATTTTTTGACGTATTAGCTAGCGAGCTCACCTAACGTAAACTCATGGTAGGCACACATGTGTCCGCATACGTAATGCGTTTCACACTGACTTTGGGATTTGGAATTGCGAAAATGCATATTTCTTTCTCTTAATTGTATCACATACTTTGCGACTTTGATCTAATTAACCCTTGGAAATACGAGCAAAAATATATCATTCAATACTGTTTACTTTTAATTTCTATAAAACTGAAATATGTTAGCTTTAGTTCTGATTATAGCAGAAAAAACTTTATCTACTTACTGTGTGTTGTGTTGTCAAAAACAGGTCCATTTATACTCGCAATTTCGTTTTACTCGTTCAATATTTTATTCAAGTAATTTATTTTACTTTTGTGCATGTTGGACATAATACAGAATTTAAAATGTTGTTTCTTCCTGCGAGCGGAAAAAACATAAATAGTCACTATTTTACCTTTAAACTATACCTACTTACCACTGTGCATTGCATTCTGCTGAGCCTTCATGGCATACAAAACAGTCTTCTTATCTTTAGATCTGTCTAACATTATCTTAATCTCAATCTAAAAACACTCCAGATCCTTGGTAACTTTTAGGCCGAGTTGCACCATCTTACTTTAACTTTGACAAACGTCAAAAATCTGTCAAACTCCGTACAAAAAGCACCGGTTAATGTTACGGTTAAAATAAGGTGGTGCAGCTCAGCCTTAGGCGATTATCACACTGCGCCGCGCTCCGCCGCGGAGCGCGGGGCGACAGATTTAATCATTGTATGCAAGTACCTCAGTTTGTATAGAAAACACGAGCGGGACTTCACACTGACAACGCGTCCGCGCGCGTGATTTTTTATACGAAAATCACGCGCTCCGCGGCGGAGCGCAGCGCAGTGTGATAACCGCCTTAGAGATGCCCACCAAACGACAGCCAGTCTGTAGGGGGACAAAATAAAAGTCCTGTTCTGTGTGAAATTACTTTCAGTCCAGGCTCTCGGTGTCATGAAAATCGAGGTGGGGCCAAACTCACTTTGGCCCAGAGGCATTTTTAATTAAAAAACATTTCGGAGAATCGTAAAGTTGCCAGGTTTTTGTTTTGACAACGGTTTTTACGCGGGAGTTTGTTTAATTAGAATGTGAGATAATAACTAACTTCGATTGAGTTAAAAATAGACAGTGGACTTTAAGTAGGTATCTATCTCCTCAAATAATAAAATTTCAAGACAATTTCAAACATCAATAAGAAAGCTGTGGTGGACAGCCGCTCGGGCGGGCGGAAATAACTAAAAACCCTTTGGTTTAAATAAAGGTGTATTTCTTCCAAAAATGCCCAAACGGCTATCAAAATCTAACGTTAGTAAACTCACAACTCAACACAATACATCATCGTAAACTTAAATTTAAATAGGTATTTCAAACTCTAACAAACCAATAGCAATTTTTAGTAAATCCATTTTAATATAAATATTGTTAATAATACTATTAGTATCCTGTTCCTGTCAAATAGCAAACTGCAAGTCAATTATTTTCCCTACACCTCTAGTAATACACTCAACGCGACATAATTCTATTTACATTTTCAGCTTGTTCAGTGTACTGAACGTTTAATTTTCACTGTGCTGAATAGTAGGAAATTAGAACATCAGCTCCTACACATCAATCAGGCGGCGGGCGCCTATTCTGAAAATACTGAGAATTTTCATACTATCAAGTAAATAGATGTACACAGAAATCCTCTTACAATATTACTAGTGTAGTCTAAAATGTCATTTTAAACTAATGATGTTAAACGCGTGTGTAACTTTGTCAGTAAGTAGTAAAGGGGTAGTATACAAGTTATCCAATAACCACGTCAAGCTTAAACTGTTTTCATTTCAAACTGCTGCACTTATTGTGAAAAAAATCACGAAAAGTCAAAATATTGCATCAGGATTTTTCTGAAGAGCTACGAGCGTACCAACATGAATTTTCCTTTAATAGGCATGATCGATTTGTCTCAAAATAAAACTGGAATAACATTTCAAGTAAGTTTTGTTACCTGAGCATTTTTGAAATTTCAGATTATCACTAGCGTGTCCAATCGCTTTTATAACGAGCGCCTTTGAAATAGTCCCCCTGTCCCACCCAACACGGCAGTAATTAGATCTAGGTCCCCTGAATTGAACTTAGCTCTTTGTCAAAAGCTAGGCGACATAGCTCGGTGACTCGAGAGCGCTGATTTGAGCTGTAATGAACTACGTCTTTAGGCATTACGCGTCTTTGGCCGTGATGAAAGAGGTGATTTAGCCGTGATTTGCGAATCAGTTCATGCAAAGACATAAGAACTAGTTTTGGATATCTACTTTTCACTGGTTTTGTTTCTACTAGTAAGAAAAATATGACCCTTATGCCTTATCTTAGACATCTTGAGAGCGCTGTTTTGAAACCTGTAATGAACTACGTCTTTAGGCATTACGCGTCTTTGGCCGTGATGAAGGAAGTGATTTAGCCGTGATTTGTGAATCGTTCATGCAAAGACATAAGAACTAGTTTTGCGTATACTTTTCACTTGTTTACTTTAAACTAATATGCCTTATAAATCTTACATATCTTGAGAGCGCTGATTTGAGACTGTAATGAACTACGTCTTTAGGCATTACGCGTCTTTGGCCGTGATGAAGGAAGTGATTTAGTCGTGATTTGCGAATCAGTTCATGCAAAGACATAAGAACTAGTTTTGCGTGTCAACTTTTCGCTGGTTTTGTTTCGACTGGTAAGAAAAATAATTATGACTCTTATGCCTTATATCTTAGAAATCTTGAGAGCGCTGATTTGGGACTGTAATGAACTCGTCTTTAGGCATTCGCGTCTTTGGCCGTGATGAATGAAGTGATTTAGTCGTGATTTGTGAATCGTTCATGCAAAGACATAAGAACTAGTTTTGCGTGTCTACTTTTCGCTGGTTTTGTTTCGACTAGTAAGAAAAATTGGACCCTTAGGTTACAGAATCCTATCTGTCCTGTACGTACAGCCTTGTGTTACAGAATCTACCTTACTACGAATTACAAATCTATGAAATACGAAACATGAACTTATAATTACATACTTTGGAACTATTACAATCTTTAATACAGACGCGGGATTTTGAGGCTGGATTGCACCATCTTACTTTAAATTTAACAAATGTCAAAAATCTGTCAAACTCCAAATAAAGACACCTATCGTTATAGTTACTGTGTTACCTATCGTTATAGGTGGTGCAACTCAGCCTAAGTTTTTAACCTTACCAAAGTATTGTCTAGGTACCCAGACAAAAGATATCACGAATCCACATCCAATTACAAGCAAAATTGCAAACAGTTGATACGGCTTATCGCTAAATGCACTTTTATCTACTTTCTGTTTCGCTGCCCGCAGCTGATACCCTATCAGTTGATGACAATTGACCCGTTTTGTTAAGGATAAGTTGTTAAACTACAGTTTAATTTTTGGGCACGCGAATTTGATCTTATCTGTGGCATCGTTACATCACTCAATTTAGGAAGCAAAATTAGGCTAACGCCCGTAATTACAAACATTACTATGAGGTCTCACAGTGCGCGTGGACGCACAGGGTGACATACGAACCAATCACAGAGCTCTATTCAACGATTTTGTTCGATTTGCTCGTTTGTGAATACGGGGTTAACTCTATAGCAACTTATGTTGTTAAATGAGATTTTTAGTCCATGCTTTACTCCAAGTATAAACCAAGTGTTTTAATTAGTCCACGTTTTGTAATAAGACAGACTTTTAGTTGAGGATAAAAATATGTCAATAAACTTTTGTTGTATTCAAATTTTCAAGTTGAACAACATATTAAATTAAAAAAAATCATCACTAGATTACATTCTTAAAACATTAATCAACCTACATAAAATCCTATCCAGAAAATAATTACCTAAAAGCCATCGATAGTGAATTTAAATGGGTTAGTTAAACAAAAGTCTAATTACTCTTCAATTCTTCATAAATCGAAAGTTATTTAGAAAAGGTTCAACATGATTGATAGACTTCCCTTGCTGGCAATCATAACACGTTGTTGCAACGCCAGCCTAAATTGACCTGTTAAATCAAATGCAATGTAAAGGATTAGGGATCTAATATTACTGACCGGTTTTGACTATGACTAGTATAAATTGGCCTGGGTTACTAAAGGTAATGTGAAGGTATTAAGGTCTGGTGTTACTGGTCGATTGAAGCTTAAAGGATAGTTAGGCCGTTTATATTTAGTGCATCGCGGCGCTTGCGCACCTTGAGACGGGTTTGCAGTGCGCATTCCGGGTTCAATTGTTTTCGATTTGGTTTTAGTAAAAAAAAGTTTTTTTAACCCTTTAACAGTACACGGATTTAAGTATCCGTTGGTAGAGTAATAAGTAAAACGTGTGTGTAATTTTCGAATGTTGTATTTATACGTTAAGTAAATATTTATATTGCTGAATTTATTTATAACTTACTTTTTAATAAATACTTACTGTTTAAAGTTTTCAAAAATATTTTGTTATACAACATTTTTGGTATTAAATTCGAACAAAGGACAGTTAAGCGAAGTTTTCAATAAAAATATCGAGTGGTTTTTTACGAGTTGCTTACATAAAAAACTGAAGCTTAAACTTTTAATTTCAACAGTTCGTGGAATCCATCGCCGAAGTCATTAAAAGATTGAGTTTTATTTTTCTACGCCGTTTCAAAATATAAATACAGGTTAAAAAATTCAGTTTTTAATAACTGTGCTGAAACTTTACACCCTGTTCATTATTGCCGCGGATTAAGTTTCCTTGGAGATGTCGTGACTATTTTCTTCTGCCTTCTCGGAAATTTAAATGAGAGAAGGTAAATCGGTCTGAAGTAAAGTCACGAGAAATGATTAAAAAATCATGAGTTTGATTATAAAAAATACTTCTACTAGTTTTTTTGAGAAGTACTTCTATTTATAAACGTAAAACAAGCATTATGTTACCTTACAATGATTTTTAGTTAAATTGAAAGTGACCAATATTTTTAAGTGATTCCTGGTAAGTCATTTCTGTGTTAAATTTTCAACAGGCTGGTACCATGAAACATTTCGTCAACGGTCGATAAACGGTCAGTCAACATGCAAACGATATGGAATAGGGTGTTAACGTTGATTGTGGTACAGGGCGCCTTTCAAGAGCTGAAGTTGTATGGATCGCCATCGCAAGCTGAAGTGCAGTGCGTCAACACTTTTGAGGTAAATTCTTTTGTTTTTATTCTCATTAAGTTTTATTTTTTCATTTGTTGAAAAGACTTTTTATAAACAAAGTCAATTTACCAGCCAGTTAACTTTTTGTAATTTTTTTTGAGTATCAATGACATAATGACATCAAAAATTGCCTCATAACTTTGATCATTGTTTTAGAAAAAGATATTATTAATATTAAAAGTATATGAATAAAAGTAACATTCCAATTTTAAATCAAAACAAGTCTAAATTGTAGATGAACAACAAAGGACTTGACATAAGTTATATTTTAATAATACCAATCACCAATTTCAAGAACTGCTTGAAAGCAACCATTGTCTGTTTCACAGAAATGTTCAATTTTCGACGTTTTGACAGGATATGGGTAAAGGCAGCGGCAGCGACGAGATTGACATTGACAATGACAATTTCTTGGTGATTAAACGATTATTTTTCTATGTGTGCGCTTCCTCACTGGCGCTGTAACACACTAACGCAGTTGTGACGTCATTACTAATACACTCACTCGTCACTAACATTATTGTGAATGTGGAAAACTAATTGTTGTGAATGTATTTTGTGTTAATTAGGATATTTTAATGTTAATTTGTCAAATCACCAAAAAGGCTCTCTTAACTAAGACCTAAGGCATTTTTTTACAAATTATAAAACTTAGTAGGGAAATCAAAGTGTAGGTAACAAATCGTTTAGTTTTAGCAGCAAAAGGTATCAGGTATCCTAGTGATTTAAATTAAGCACTTCTAGAAGACCTATAGGTATGCATAAATTTAGTAGCACTAAGTAAGAGTAAGTGCACTGGATTTTTTGTTATGTCATGTTGTATACCTGATATTTTTTAGAGATTGGGATCATAGTCGATTCTAAATAATAAACTGTCAATAAAATTGTTTTTGGCACATTGCCGAAAAAATATTGTTTATGACTAAAATCGTCCTGTCAGAAAAACAGCTTGTCTACATTCCATAACACCCTGTATATTGTCAAACATCGGTGTCATTACCCGATCATTAGACAAAGACAAAGCGTCGTAATCGCAGAGCCGATGTCCTGATAACAATGCCGCTTCATCAGGCAACAAGCGGGTCAAATGCCATGGCGGTTGTGACATTTGTCAAGAAGTTCATTGCGAAGGTCTCTGTAAAGACTCATCAGTTTCTAAATTGATTGAATTTAAAATAGACATTGACATTTTTATAAATCATAGGCATATTTTGCGGAATCTACCTGTAACAATCAGCTGTAAAAATTGAGATAAGGAAAGTGCCATAAGGAGTACTTACTGTGATACATTGATAGTTAGGAGACGGAAGTGATTATTCCAGATCGGTTAGGACACTGTGAATTGATTGTCCAAAAAACATTTAAACCGTTATCTACTTACCGGATTTTTTTTCTCACAATGACGTCTTGCACTGCGTCTGATTTAGAAAGTGAAGCCGAAGACCATTAATTTAACTAAAAAAGAGATGACAATTAGCAACTATTTAGCATCTTTAATCTCCAACACTCATCAGATAGCAACAGACCTCAATTGTTATGCCTGAGATGCTTTGTCGTTAGACAATTAATTGCGAATTCCGTTTAAAGAGCAAGACGCCAATTGTAGGAAATGCTGGACGATAAAAATAGTACGGGTACAGTTTAATGTTCTCTTTATTAAAAGTATTTGAAATAGGCTACAATTTTATCATGAGTGACAAATTCTACAAGTCTGAATGGTTTTTTTTTATTTCTGCTGTTGCTGCTAAAAATGTACAGTCATCAAAATAAACACTGTGCTATCTAATATAGTTGCAATAGAACCTATTTTGCAATAAAAATATAGTCTGATATATGCTACCTGTACACTGGATACTGTAAAGTCACTAACCCCAAATTATCTCCTACCCATAAATCTGTCATAATAATATCGTAACACGGTTATAAAACCCCCAAACTCCACTCAAATCATGCTCTAAACGTTACGAGGTAATAAGTCATAATTGGAGCCGTTAAATCTTCGTAGAGTTCATCTTCCGAACGACACGCCCACGTCATCATGGTTTAGAGTCAATCATAACCTTTAAACTCTTATCGCTACTAAATCACATTTTACGGTGGATTTCAAAGTTGATGCACTTCTGGGCGAAAAATCTCGTTCTTGCTCTGTCTATCCTCGCGTCTAAAAAGTAGTAGAAGCTCTAAAAATTTTTTTTATTCAGCTTTGAGTCATAACAAGGACCTATTAATACGATTTATTCTTCACCATAAAAAGTACATTTACAGTAAGTGCAACAACACTTTTACACACTACTGAGAGATAAAAATTGAAGTACAACGTTTATTCTAAATAAGTTTAATAAAGTCCCGAATAGTTTACTTCATAAACATATCCTTCTGTCTTTTAATCAATATTTTAAGGAGCCTTGATTTCTCTGGGAAATTAATCAATGGCTTTTAAACCAATGGCTTCAGCCTTTCAAACAATATAAGGACCTTTGATTACTCTGGATAATGAATCTCAAAATTAATACATCCAATCTACGAATCGTTTCCAACATACGAAACTCTCTATTGACTTCTGTGTATCTTATATCATCATCATCATCATCAACAGCCCTTTACAGCTCACTGCTGGACTTTGAGCCTCTTCCACTATAGTGGAGGGTTTTGCCATAATCCCCACGCTTGGCAGGCGGGTTGGAGATCGCAGTTTAAAAGATTGATGTTTTTCAGAGAGCGCTGCTGCCCGTTCTCTGTTTGATGTGTAGTCCCTAAGTCGCCTCTTACGACACCCGCGGGAAGAGTAGGGGTTGGTGACAAATGTATTCTACTCTGCCGTCACCACACGGCTTATGGGTATCTTATATGCCACATCTTAATTCTGGTCGTCGCAATAACACGTACGTACCTAATTGAAGTTCCATGCACACAGTAAATCTTCGGTGATTTCCATCTCCCGAACGTCGACGCGATAATGTACACAGTCCCAGCGCAGATCATACTGTAAACAAACAGCGGTCGCTGCAATCAACGTCTGTGGTCAATGTGACAGCGGTGCTCAAAGTCAAAGTCAAAAGTCAAAATATCTTCTCGCTTGATCAAAACATTTTATAACTATTAGTTTACATTTTGTTAATATTTAACTTTAGTAACAAAAGATCAATGGGACAAAACGTCCCCAGAACTGTAGCACTTTAATACCTACCTTATATGATAGACCATGCTAAATACTATAATTTTATTATATCACAGCTCAAGTGTGACATGTCTCTAAAAAGTTATATAAAAATAAAATTTTATAATCAACCCTGAAAAAATACATACTAAATCACTTTTGACCAACTTAAAATGGTATCACGATAGCTTGACCCCGGGACAATTCGACCAATTAATTAATCAATTAGTTATTTTAACTACGAATCAAAAAATACGAGTCTTCTTGGTATTTAAAAACTGGGCCTAAATGATAAAATACTCTAACTAACAAAGTTTTTCGGCAAATAAAAAACCCTCCTCTGTTATAATAGCTGTGCTATGAAGAGCCCAGGATGTTCTTACTTAGTTTTTGAATTCACAATGAAAACCATAATTATAATGATTGAGTATTTGTATAATTTCCAGTCGTAACTTATCAAAGATCATCCTCATTAGCGTTTGATAGCTCAATCAGAATGGCTTATTTTTTCTTGTCTTTAAATTAAAGACAGTCATGTCGATTCAATCTACAAGTTCCTAACTATTGGTTTAGCGCTCAACTTAGTGCCTGAGGTATTAATTGGAGCGGCAAGGGAGGGAGATTTTCACACGTCAAACGTCAGCGAGACTTCAGATTATGCTTCAGATTTGTATGCTTTGTCACGTCATAAATGTCAATGTCACCCCTCCCGTGCCGCTTCCATACCTCAGGCACTGACTAAGTTAAGCACTAGACACATAAACTGAAAATAGGCAGGTGACAATTAATTTTTTTTCTAATTAAAAAAAATAGTGCATGACGTTCAAAAATTTCAAAAAATTATTTTCTTTCCTATCATCGAGCCCTCTAAGAGTGAAGCCACAGCTCGCGTGTATTGACATTATGATGTTTCGCCTAGTCCTGTTGACACAGCGCGTTAGCTATCAACTTTGGGTGTGGACTCTTCGACCGGACAAATTGGAAATTGAGGTGTTGTGCAGAATAAAATATGTAGAGTTTCCAAAACGCAACTTATTTTCTTAGTTCTTAGAACTATTTTTGTTTGCGGTTTTGTTTAAGGAATAGAGACTTTGATGACGGCCAGTTGCATAGATCTAAGTTTAACAGATTGGTGCAAATTAGTTTACAATATCTAGGCCAGTTTATAAGGTAGATACAATATGTTAATTGGATTCACTCACAAATTATTTAAGTGCACTGGATTTTTTGTTATGTCATGTTGTATACCTGATATTTTTTAGAGATTGGGATCATAGTCGATTCTAAATAATAAACTGTCAATAAAATTGTTTTTGGCACATTTCCGAAAAAATGTTGTTTATGACTAAAATCGTCCTGTCAGAAAAACAGCTTGTCTACATTCCATAACACCCTGTATATTGTCAAACATCGGTGTCATTACCCGATCATTAGACAAAGACAAAGCGTCGTAATCGCAGAGCCGATGTCCTGATAACAATGCCGCTTCATCAGGCAACAAGCGGGTCAAATGCCATGGCGGTTGTGACATTTGTCAAGAAGTTCATTGCGAAGGTCTCTGTAAAGACTCATCAGTTTCTAAATTGATTGAATTTAAAATAGACATTGACATTTTTATAAATCATAGGCATATTCTGCGGAATCTACCTGTAACAATCAGCTGTAAAAATTGAGATAAGGAAAGTGCCATAAGGAGTACTTACTGTGATACATTGATAGTTACGAGACGGAAGTGATTATTCCAGATCGGTTAGGTTAGGACATTGTGAATTGATTGTCCGAAAAACATTTAAACCGCTATCTACTTACCGTTATAAGCTCTTACAGTTTATAAGGTAGGTACAATATGTTAATTGGATTTACTCACAAATTATTTAAAACATAAATGTTCAAAATTGACAAAAACTCACTAACTACAAATAAATCTGCCCAGGGTGAGATTTTGTAGGTCTACCCAACGAAGGAACCTTCTAAATACAAAATTACAGTCTTTTTTTTAAAATAAAAGAATATATATAAATAAATAGAAATAGCTAATGCTAACAAATGACATTTTCATAAGCGGCACCATGATTAAATCAATTCGATGGAATTATGAATATTTAAGTAACTAGAATTAGTAATGGTGTGTATTTAAATCAGTAACTTACTAACGAACAATGTACAGAACAGCTCATCAGGCTATACATTTTGGTTGTAAAATGGCCCTTAATACAACCACACAAGATGCCTCAGCGTTAAGCTTGATACGCTCTCGCAATAGAGAATTTGAAACATGCGTAATCTCGTTAAGCTATCAACATTAATTCAAAAGACAAACCTTGCCTATTTGTGCAGGTACAGTCAGATGCCTAAACCTAATATTGTTTTAATATAGTGAAACAATATTGCTACAGGTAATAATTGCAATATTAGTACTTAGTTCAGTACTGAGTTATTTGTTACATAATAAGCTTTAAAACAATAGTTTGAAGTTAGATTCTTATTTTGAAAATTATAATATTTACTATGCTGATTAAATAATATTTATTAGCGATCCACCCCGGCTTCAAACAGTAGGTACAGTCACGGAATGAAAAGGTTCGTCAGTTTTCAAATTGATTCCTTCAACGAATCGCGAGCACATATTACCTTTTGAAACTATGTTACAGAATAATCTCGAGTTAGAGAAAATAATCTTTAACTGTTCGTCAGTAAAGTTCAAAATTATTCAGATCAAAGTTGTTTGACGATTTATCTTGTCAAGAAGATTATTATGATTGATAAACTAAAACCTTCTTGTTGGTTCAAACTGCCATTATTATTTCTTTTAAATAAAAAAAACTATTGTCAATTGGTCAATGTCATCATTGCATTGCACTGATGGGATAGAAAAATAAACAAGCAAAACCTTATTCGTTAGCAAACGTCATATTTATTTAAATGTTAGCAGCACTGTTTCTTGCACTGTTATGTTGGCAGGTTTGACTCTCACAGTACCTATTAGTGCAAGCGAAAACCGACACTAAGGTGACGAACCTTTTCATTCCGCGACTGTACATTATTTTTACACCTTCCTCTTGAATCACTTCATCTATTTCTGAAAACTGGATAGAAATCCATTGCGTAGTTAAAGAGATCTAAAGAAAAACAATCTGTTACACATACCTAAAACATTTTCTTTTTCATGTTCAAAGTTGGCTCTATAATTGTTAAGGACTAAAACCCTGAAATTTTGTGAATCATTTTAATTTCACCTGAGTGTACAGGCAGCTAATTACGGGCACGCGTACATAATACATTTTATGTAGTTTAACTTTTCCGGCTAGGGCTGCCCCAAAAGTTATTTGAAAACTTTTTTAAAGATAAAGATTAACCCCTTTACTAATAAAAAGTTACACAGTTGTTGATCACTGTTTTAAAATGACATTTCCATACTAAACGTCACTTTAAAACACTGATCAACGAGCGTGTAAGTTTTATTAGTAAGGGGGTAAGTATTTATTTACCGAAACAAGGTGATACATAAGTAGATGTTAGATACAATATATACTTGGAAATAACCATTGAATGACTAACGGTATTAAGTGCACAACTGGTAAATAGTGTTACAATGGCTTTAGTATAAGAAATTTGCACAACTTCACATTATTCATATTTAAAAGGTTAAATCTAAGAAGTATAATATTTATCATAGTTTACAGAATTTTAATTTATTTAATCAGTACTTGTTTGAGTATTAAAAATTTGTATTATACTGTAGGTGGATCAAGAAGAAGGTGATGCTGAAGGAGGATCAGGTCGCTATGGAACCATGCCGCCATTCCCACCGCCACCACCAGGCCTCGATGGTAAGACAAAATTAACAAGAATCTATCTAATTCAAACGCAGGATAATTATTAATTTCCTAATCCATCTGGCCAGGCAGCGATGAAAGCCAAGGAGAGAGCCAAGCAGTAAAGACTAAAATACTTGATATTAACATTAATTCTCAAAAAAAGTTAACAAATACAACTTCTTTTTTGTGCCCGAAACACTTAATCATTTTTCAATTTGCTGCAATAATGAAAGTACTGAAATCAGAAAAAGATCTATTGAGTTGGCGAACAAGTGAAAACCAAAGCACACGATGCGTTACCGCTGTACCGCAATGATTTCGATATCTATGTAGACGACGCAGCGACACTGCTCCGGCCTCGCACCGCTGCCGCAATGCATCGTAACCTTTAGCTCTAACGTTCCTTTTACCATACAAAATGGATAAATAAAAGTTGACAGCCCTACGCAGATGAGAGCGGAAGAATGGAACGAGACAGCAATGTTCGTCTGGGATTACTGCAGTTAACATCCGACGATTAACAGATCGCAGTGCTCTCGCTTGGAAATGAAACAAATACTGCTGTCCTACTCGTAGAAACTGTTCTCTATGAGTGAGTCGAGTTTTAACACTTTTGACAACTCAAAGTGTGTCAATTTGCTAGATTGTTATTGTGGACAACCCTATACACTATACAGATAAGACCAGAAGAATGGAACGAGACAACATTGTTCATCTGGGATTACTGCGGTTAACATCCGACGATTAACAGATCGCAGTGCTCTTGCTTGCAAATGAAACAAATACTGCTATCCTATTCGTAGAAACTGTTCTCTATGAGTGAGTCGAGTTTTAACACTTTTGACAACTCAAAGTGTGTCCATTTGCTAGATTGTCGAATGCGCCCTATTGTGGACAGCCCTATACACTATACAGATGAGACCGGAAGAATGGAACGAGACAGCATTGTTCGTCTGGGATTACTGCGGTTAACATCAGACGATTAACAGATCGCAGTGCTCTCGCTTGGAAATGAAAAACGCTGAAACAACATGCTATACTTACTAACGAGTATCTTTCCGCTATGTAAAATTAATTAATTTTTAAGTAGCTGTGTCCGCTACTTCCTTGCTGCTTTGCTTTGCTGTGAAAACTGTAGAGTGATTGATTAATTTCTGTTCAACCTCCTTTTTTTCCCTTTTTTTTTCCTCCTCTTTTTTTTCTCCCTTTGTCATCCATCCTATTATTATATTATGTATGTGTCTATGTATGTATTCATATGTTATTTATGTTTTTTTTTTCTAAATTCGTAATAATTATATACCGCCTACTTTATTCTCAGTTTGGCCCTAAGGTTGACTGGCAGAAAATGCCGAAAGGCATTAAGTTATGTACACCGTTCTGTGTGCATATAAGTTTTAAATAAATAAATAAATAGAGCCGGAGTTTTCACGACTACATTACTTTTCAGTCAACTAAAACCTGTTATTCAATAATATTTATTCTCTTTCAGGATATCCTCTTCGGTTGAGAGGAGAAAAGGGAGAACGAGGACCAAGAGTGAGTACTAAATCAATTTCTAAAATATTTTGCATTATGTATTTACTGATACATATTTGTGATCCTTTAAAGAACTCTATGGAAAGCCAACATGTATTTTATCAAAATTAAATTATGCTTGTGACAGCCGGCTATACCTAAAGTCTATACTAAAGTCGGCTATATCTTTTACGAATATAATATCCGATTAAAACAATGATTATGAGATTGGAAAAATGAATTCAACACCCTCTTTCAAATGGTACCTAATTGGTATCAATATTAAACTCTACATTTGATCTCTTGCTGATTTCAACCAATAATGTTGGTAAATCGTAAATACCCCAACACAAACTTTTATCAATGACCCTTAAATCATTCCATTCCAAAAAACCGCCATTTAATATTCATGGAAAATTAATACGCTCGCGAATGACTAATATCCGGGGCTTCGCATTGAGAACAAAAGTGCGATCAGTTACGCATAACTCGCAGTTTTCGTACAAAGGGTGCTTGTGTATTGTTCGACCATTCGATTTATCGGCGTACAACCCGCCCCAAGTGTTTTAGTGCGCACGATTCTATTACGACGGCTTTGGCATACAGCTCCTACTGACAAATGCAATCGCTACAGATTATAATTCGTGATCCCTTAGGTGTTGGCGCAAATGGGCCACTGGTGGCTGTGGTCGGTGGCCTATTTGCGCCGAGCCTTAACTACGACTATAGTTTACTCATAAATAACCTTGATACATACTTGTATGAAGCGACTACGAAAATGCATTTAGCATGAAAAAAAATAGAATTAAGAATTTTCTCAGAAACGCAATGAGGTACAAACAGAAAAAGTTCAAGGCATATGCCACGTAAGTAGCAATAAAATACACTTTGATCAAAATTACTTTACCTAGATTAAATCTGTAAATTTCAAATTATTTGCCAACGTAAATATCTAAATTTGTCCTCTAATCGGTCGCAGTAAAAGTCGATAGATCCCCTCGTGTCAGAACATAGAGCCATTACAGAGCTCTTGGTGATAGTAGCGCGGTCGCGCACTCCACGCAAGTGGCAGCAAAATACTCTTTGATTAAACAACGGATCGTATAAAATTGGATTTCCAATATTCGAATTTCAATGCGGCACTGATGATGATTGATGATTTATCGAGTAGTTTTGATAAAACTGCAATTGGTTTTATTATGTTTTACTGTGCGGTCAAACGGAAAATATTTTTACGATGGCTAATCTACTGAAATGTATATTTTTTTCCTTGAACTGAATGCCTTGTAATACCAACTTACAGTGGCGGATTTACAGTTTTGCCGCCCGTAGGCTAGGGTGGGGTTGGATCTTTATTTAACTTTTATCTTCTGAAATCGAGTAAGCGTCATCTGAAATCTGCCGCCCCTAGAACGCTGCCGGCCTTGGCCGCGGCCTATACGGCCTATTGACAGATCCAGGACTGCCAATTTAAGCACAATGTCAAATGGTGGTATTTACTTTAAATGAAAGTGGGTAGGCATAAGAACTATTTTGCTTTAAGCACATTTTGGATAAAGACCATAAGCTATGGCTTAAACAGACATCCTGATGATCGCTTTACCAAATGTATCTGCGGATGCATTAGAGTGCTACGATTAGCACTGAAGCACTGATCAGTTAATAGCTATCATCATTAGTTTAACAAGAGCTCTAAGAATGGTAGGTGGGCATTGGGATCTTCTAATTATAACGAATAACAAGAACGGCGTCTATAAATTGGCGACAAAAAGTTATCACCAGTCATGACACTAAATTAGAATAGTTCCATTTCATTCCACACTTTTATTGGCTGTATTTGTCTGTTTACAGTCTTACTCAAAGACGCAGATGTGATTAAATCTAGAAGCGAAATTATTAAGAAGAAACTTATTTATTTACTCGTCTATAAAAAGATTTGACTTGAAGATACAGCCTATCTCAAAATTTACTCAAGCCTCAGGCGAAGTGAATTTCTCCTGTCAGTGGATAATAAACCACAGATCACAGAAACTAAAGGGAGATGTGACAAGGGGGCAGGGCCGGTGTCGCAGCAATATGCCCAAAAACAGAACACATTGCTCGTGAAAGCAATGATGACAGCAGCGACGTCATAATGTAAACAGCTTACATTGCTTGCGTAGTACTAAAGATAATTCGAACGTTGAGTACTGATACCGCAGTGGATAATGGGCACATATTTTGATTTCTTTGTGCGTGTGAATTTATAATGCGACAAACTCAGCGCATTAGTTGGCATCTATCTATATATCTATGTAATAAACACTTTAGTGCACTTTTTCATCGTATTTTTGCTTGCAGGGACCACCGGGCGAGTCAATCAGAGGACCACCAGGCCCACCGGGGCCTCCGGGACCCGCTGGCCTACCAGGCGTGTCTGCTATTACTGAAATATCCGGCTCTGGAGACGATGTAAGTGTTGTTCTAAAATGAGTTTATTTCATTAGACAACAAGGATTAGTTTTGCTCAGCAAAACAAAACTCGTACCAACTAGACTTGATTATTCATTGTGAACTATCTACTTTAACTTCAACATATCATTACTTAGGCCGTTCTTTGGCTTAAAAGATAAAAAGGATATATAACTTTTTCTAGACCCATCTTTATAGTCTACATCTAATCTGAAAGTATGTTACCAGCTTAGCCTAGTAAAAGTTTAAGAAAAGAAGTAAAAGCATTAGGGTAGGCCAGCGTTTTATATCGTTCGTTTAGATGTATTACTGTTTATCTCTTATATCACAGTAAAAACATGTTAAGATTTTGTGGCTCTTAATAGAATCCATTATAATAACAAATGTAATAATTCTCATATACCAATATTACATCTTAGGCTGGTTTGCACCATCTTACTTTAACTTTAACAAACGTCAAAAATCTGTCAAGTTCCCAAAAAACACCGGCTATCGTTATAGTTACGGTAAAAGTTAGGTGGTGCAACTCAGCCTTAAACTTAACAGACAATAATTAAGTAGGTATTTGTTTGTTTCTCTAGAAATGTGTCTTCAGATTATAAAAATAGTTATTCCTGGAAAATAGGCTGCTTTTATTCCACTTATCGTGTCATCAATAAATAAACGATAGCCTTTTCTTTGAAGTACAGTGAACGCCATTTCAAGCAATTTAAATTAAATACGTGCCCGAGCCTATAAAAGTAATTTACGCATGCGTTGGGATAATATGCGGTTTTTGGTTGGAATACCTTTCGGTGGCATTAATGGACTATGTACTCGTCTTTAAGTGTATTAGCATAGAGTTGAACTTGTTTTAACAAGTTGCCGACTGTCCAGAGCAAACTGTATACCTCCAGTAAAGTCTGAACCGCAGGACTCTCATTTAACCTGCGGGCTTCACCTGCCTCCCTGCTAAACAAACAAACCCATCTTTGTGTGGTCTAAGTAAAAAGAACAAGGAGGATTTTGGGCTGCATTGTCTTTTAAATAATTTAAATATTATACTCGATTCGCCAACCCGTAGCTCAATCAACCCACCATGTACCTCGTCAGCTCAACCACGACCACTCTCACAAGAGTGCCGGACTAAGAAGATTATACTCGATTACCGAAATTAGGAACTCAGTCTTCGTGAAGTCAATGTCGTCAAAATATGTGATTATTATATGGGACTAATAAGCAAACATCAGGCTAGCTAGCACGGAGTGTGGTGACCAGATGTTCCTTTTTCCTCTGGTGAAATAAGAGAGGATATTATGCTCCTACCGTCGAGAGACTAATACCCGTTTTAACCATCAATCCCTAATTTTTAAGTGACCCCTTATGGTAACACCTAACAGGAATTTTGTTTTCAAAGGGGTCACTTAAAAATTAGGGAATGATGGTGAAAACGGGCATAAGGAAACAATGACTGTCAGTCTGTCAGGAGTCAGTCTTATAGCTTTGTTTGTTGTTTCAGCCAAATGACGTCCACTGCTGGACAAAGGCCTCCCCCAAGGTTTTCCACAATGAACGGTCCTGCGCTGCCCGCATCCAGGCTCTTCCCGCGACCTTTACCAGATCGTCGGTCCACCTAGTAGGAGGCCTGCCCACGCTACGTCTTCCAGCCCGTGGTCGCCACTCGAGAACTTTCCTGCCCCAACGGCCATCGTCTCTACGAGCTATGTGCCCCGCCCACTGCCACTTGATTTTAGCAATTCTGCGAGCTATGTCGGCCAAAGCTTTGTTTACCTCAAAGCAAAGCAAATGGTTGGTTTATTGTTGAAAGCTGGACTGAATATAAAACTACTGCTTGAACTGCTGAAGGATTAGATTCAACTATTTTCATGGCTAAGATTCTTCAACTCTCGGCAAGTTTATAAAATATCTTCAGAAATTAAATATTCAAAGTAAATTTAAACCATCAGTGAAGGAATTTAGAACGCTTCTCGCTTTTCCCTTATTCCACATCAGAAATGCTATCTGGCCTGCCTCGGAACCCACAATGCGCGTAGTCGTATCAAACCTGAAGTTGAATAGCCTATTGAAAACTGTTCTTTTGCAACGTGACCGCTCATTTGAAATGCAGGGTACATTCTTTTGTTTATAAATATCGGTTTGAATGGAACGAAGATAGAAAACGTTATTTAAATATCTTCTAAATTCAAATCTTGACAACTTGTCAACGGCCAGTAATAAAAATCACTATGACAACTTGTCGACGGCCAGTAATAAATTTTATCATTGTGAGAATGAAAGATAGTAAGGTGGAAAAGGAGGATGACCTCCAAAATGAATGAAAGAATTGACATTCAACTGAACCCAGGGAAATTGTAGTCATTATAACAAAATTTACAACTACCTACTCATTGTTGCTAGTAAATGTATCAAAGAACGGAGTTAGAGAAACGACGCACATCATTACGATTTAACAGACTTTAGTTTAACAGTAAAGAAGTAAAACCTTATCATATTTTAAAAGACTTGGTTCAATAGTACCTACTTATGTGACACCCATCCCATGTCCCGACAGAAAAATTAAAAAAATATAATATTGACTTTTCTACTTTTAAAATTTGACATATCATGGTGGATTTTGACATATCTGTCAATGTCATTTTAAAAATAACCAATCATGCAGCATTTGGACCTCGCGTCTACGTATTGCCATCTGGCGGATTTTTCAATCGCGAAAACCCTCATTGCAAACGAATGGACGTAAAAATTAAAATAGTAGAATTCGTTTTCCATTGATAGAGTGGCAAAACCGTAATTTGTAAAAAAACTTAGCACTGCGTTGTTATTAAATTAAGAAGTTTCAAAATGTCTTTAAATTAACTAAGGTTTGCTGGGTCCTGCTGACAGGCTCTTATTATTGTGGTCATATGCTATACATATTAAAATGATGACACCTTTTCGGTTGATTTTATTTTATTTAGGATTTATTATAAGTATAGATAACAAACAATTGTACAATTCAGGCAGTAAAAAGTTTATCTTTAAAGTTAACTGACAGAGAACGTCATATGGATTTAAGTTCGTCTAAGTACCAATTCGAAAAAAGTGCAAGTTTATCTGAGAGATAAGTTCTAAATAACATCTGTCAAATAACTGTTCCATGACGATCTACCCTAAATAGTTCTTTTCTGGTGACTGGGTTTCTTGCGCTGCTTTTTCTCAGCACTACTGGTTCATTCATTTTCCCGAAGCAGTGGTAGGATTAAAGTACTGTAACATGTCACTGTATTAATACAGTGACATGTTACAGCGCTTTTTAAGAGCATAATCTCAGAATGAGAAATTATAAATTTTATGGCTTTCGAATACAGATTTAAACTAACACCAAGGGTCAGATCATGGCATTAGTTATTGATTTTCCGACCAAAGCAGAACGAGAGCTGGTAACAAACTTTGTTATGCCCTTGGAACGCGTCCAACATTCGATTGACGGGATTCATTCAATTTGCCCGACTTCAGTAAGGGAGTTAGGTAATCGTGTTTCAGCCCTCTTGACATATTTTTCTCTTTAGAGTATTGATTTTGAGTTCAACTGCATTTGAAGTAAGAGCACCTGCTGAAAATGGAAAATGTGGAAAACCTATTTTAACCGCTTGAGTCCCAGACGGCATACATTAATGCCATAATATTGATTATCTATTGTGTCTAGATTCGCGGGCCTTGAAGGATTAATTGACGGCTTGATTTTCCTAGATAGGAGATAAGTTTCCCAAATAGGTATAATAATATGTATGTATTATATCCCTTTCTAGTAGTGTCCGACCGAATGTTCGGTTTCGGTTTCGTTTTCGGTTGAGTTTCGGTAAAAACACGAGTTTCGGTTTAGTTTCGTTTTCGGCGCCAAACTTGCCGAAACTACGACCGAAACCGAATATGCATTACGATCATAGTTTGNGTGCGTCATGCCACATTTACATGCCCAGACCATTTGATTACATACTGCACCAGTTGCAGCAGTTCCATGGCTCTGAATGATGAAGTAGAAGACTGATCTCATTGTATCTGCATATAAAAGTTGATTTTATCTCTTTTTCACTATATAACATTGTTGATTCCTATTAATACTAAAAATCTTTACCAAAAACAAAAAATATAGACTCAAATGTGTTTCTATACATGATTTTTTCATGTTTTGTTTAAAAATTCATAAAAAAATATTTATTTCATGTATTCGTTTTATTTTTGTTTTATTAGCTCAGTAAAGAACCCTATATACATAGACAGTAATTAAAATTAAGATTACTTGTACAATTTCCTGAAAAATGATCGATGAAATGTGGGTCAATATGACCCGGGGTCATCGTCTTTGCAATTATTTTCACGTCATTGGCGCCGGGTTAATCGATATTTTTGTTTTAATTTCTTTTTTCCGAAATTTGACCTGAAAACTGCTTAATTTTTTTTTGTCACGTGTTTTCAACCATTTCTTTTATTTGATATTAATATTGAATATGTCTTTAGTTAGATAAAATAAATTTCAGATCCAGATAGAGATTGGATAGCTAGTTACGAGCCGCCAAAGTTTAACAAAAGTACAAATCACGAAAAAAAATTCAACTTAGAATTTGATTTAAAAAAAAATTAATGGTGATATCGGATTGCCAATGATCTTGAAAACATCTCTAGCTTCACTTCTTTCCAATGATATATCACACGTAGTAGTTAGATGTTGAAATTCGTCAAAAATTCAAAGTTTAGGGAAGAAAATGTGAAAAAATTCCAAAAATAATAACGTTTTCTTTATTTTTCCCTCAAAATATGAGCCTTGTAAGGAAGTTTCGGTTTCGGTTTCGGTTTCGGCCGAAATAGACACCGTTGCCGAAATTCGTTTTCGGTTTCGGTTTCGGTCGTAAAACTAGTTTCGGTCGGACACTACTTTCTAGTAATAGCTTATCATTTTGTTAGGCTTTCGACCAAAGCTCTACCTCAAACTATTAAATTAAACATGTTCGATAGCACCTATGATTTTAATAATGGATTTCTTTACTTTTTGCATTCTCATGGGAACACAGAAGAACTACGTAAAGGTATTCCTTAATACACATTACATGAAAAATATTCAGTTACTTATTTAGATTTTGATTACTTTTAGGGTTTCGAAAAGCCTTAAATACCTACTGAACTCATAATTGTTTTTATTGTAGCAAATATTCGGAGAGAACTACGCATCGTTGGGCCAGTGTGGCTGCAACTCCAGCACCATTCTGTCCCTTCTGCAGACGGCTCCGGAGCTCCAGGGGCCCCCGGGTCCACCTGGCTTGATGGGGGCTGATGGGAGGACCGGACCTCCGGGGATAGCGGTCAGTACCTTAGAACTTGCTCAAAGATATTCTGGAGTAGACGTGGTTTATGTATTAGTACATATTTTAATACCTTTCTTAAATCTGTTTACAATTCTTTTATGTCCTCGCGAATAATATGCAAACAGAGATCATCTGTGATGCATGCAGTCAAAGATGCACTCAAATAATTAGTAACATACTCAGACGGTGATAATATTTTTTATTTGTTTCTAAATTTGACTGTTATTAGCTGTTAGCCAGATTTTGGTTAGATTATTTGGATATCTAATGACAAAATACAAGTACTTACCTACCTACTGTTATTCTACAGATGTTCATGTTAATTTGACTTATAATATAAAATGCAACATGTTACCAGTCTTTTCATATTTCAGGGTCAACCTGGAATGCCTGGTGAAAGGGGGCCTGGTGGCCCAAGGGGAGAGAAGGGAGAACGAGGTGATTCGGGCCCACGAGGGCCTGAAGGCCTACTGGGGCCTAAAGGGGAAGCAGGGGTAGACGGTAGGCCTGGCAACCCCGGGCCTCCCGGACCTCCAGGGCCACCAGGCTCTTCAGAGTATAGTAACTTTGATGTAAGTGGTATTTTTTGTTTATGTAGTAAAGAAGAGATTTAAGAAATAGGTAATAATAACAAATTGGAAATATCTACCCTAAATATCAGAAATGCTTATGTAACGAACGTAGTTACCATGTTCGCGGTAATTATGCTAGACATATTTATTATTAGTTAATTGCCTTCATGGGAGGCAGATGTAAGGTTATCTTGCTTTTTAAGGTGCCTCTAGATAACGTGCTTCTTATAGGACAAAAATATTTATAGTAAGTCGAATAATGTACGTAATGTAGTCAAAACATGAGCTTGATTCCATTACTGTAGAAGTGTAGTTAAGTTAAGAAACATTATTAAATCAATTTCAGTGCTTTAGGCTATTGAAAAAGTTTATTTGTTCTTATTTTATAAATGCTAATATAATGCTATTTTATCAATTTCATGCAATCATTTCTATGTATCTAGTCAAACTGGAAACCTAGGCCAATATACAAGGTAAGCGATAGGTCATTTTACTCGTTAAATATACGTGATGTTTAAGAAATAGGATTTTAAAATGAAGTATTGAAAAAATAAAGTCACGGGCGCAATTTCACCATACCTACGTCATGTTTTAAAAGTTATGTAAAAGAGTCTTATTTCAAAATAAACTGTTCTGTTAAAACAAATCGAAAATCTTCAAAAACCAAGTTGTTAAATTGAATAGATCAATCACCAATTTTCGATTATCCTCCCATTGTCAGTCAGTTTGTTTGCAACAGAAACGAGTAAAAACACTAGCACATCAAGCTGAACACTGTGAAGTCTTATGCAGTTGTAATAGGGTTGAGTTTGCTATAAAAATGTATAGTCTGACGTGATGTCGTCACAATCGCGGCTTTGCCAAACAAACCAGCCAACTTCCGAAAAGTGTGGAAGGAGCCATACAACCTTGATTTATACCGGCGACGGGCCAGATAAGGGAATTTATTTGAAACGTCACCGTAGAAAGTTTCTATTGTATGGAAATAATTTAGATTGTGTCACGCCTGCGAACCCAAAAGTTGAGAACCATTTAACAATTGGGAACTGGTGACGGGTTATCGCAGCGTGATAGGTCTGATAAATCTATAGATGTAAACTTTTAATTCAAACAATAATAACAGAACTTCAAAAAGAAAAATTTGGTACAAGTTAATCGGGCTAACAGAATTATTGTCTAAGAATGTGCATGGTTCATACCAAAGATCATATTCTCCTTAATAAATAGGTATAGATTTCAAGTTAAGTTTCATTTTTAGGAATCAATCATGGGTTCCTATGGAGGAGCCATCGGGAGGCCTGGTGCTCCGGGCCCTAAAGGAGACGCAGGCCAACCTGGACCTATGGGTCCAACTGGAGAAAGAGGCTTTCCAGGTCAAAAGGGAGACAGGGGACCGGCAGGTCTACATGGACCTAAAGGAGATCGTGTACGTAATGCAGTCTTTATTAAGTAATTGGCTGTCACTTTTATGGGCCATCATTATGTCTGACCAACCAAGAATAAAGTATGAATTGTTTATCTAACAGGGTCATCCTGGTCCGCAAGGTGATCGAGGATTGAAAGGTGATCAAGGAAGTCCAGGCTTAGATGGTCGACCTGGCATACCTGGAGCTAATGGAAGACCTGCTGAGAAAGGAGAGAAAGGTTTGTGATATCACTATTGACTGGGAATTTAAGGCATGTCCACAGATGAAGTAATATCTTAAATTACAGGTGAACAGGGGATGCCAGGACCTCCAGGCCCACCGGCCTTGGCCTCAGGGGCTTACAGCTCAGATAACCCAGAGTTCTTATCAACGGGTAAGGAAGGTCCTTATTAAAAAATATCACATTTAAATGAGTTTACAAGTGTCGAGTAACTGTGTCATTACTGATTTTAGGACACATGACTGTATCTGGGTCTAAAGGTGACAAAGGAGAAAAGGTAAACCAACTTCCATTTTTAAAAATATATATGTTATATTGTTAAATTGAGCTGGAAACTATCAAGATTCCACATTTCAGGGTGAAAAAGGCAGTCGAGGTAACGACGGGCCACAGGGTTTCCCAGGCAAGGATGGGAAGCCTGGTGATCGAGGAGATATAGGCCCATCAGGCATGCCTGGTATAGAAGGACCTGCAGGTGCACCAGGTCTAAAGGGAGAGAGGGGAGAAAGAGGACCCCCTGGGCCCATAAGTATTACATCACCTGGATCGGACATTATAACTATCAAGGTATTTTTAAATGTCTTAGTTTAATATCAAATAATTGTTTAAGACTTACACATTTCCTATTTCTTAATAGTTTTGGATTACTAACAATAATATTATATTATTTTTAATAACAGGGTGATAAAGGAGACGCGGGCGTTAGAGGACGCCGTGGTCGTCCAGGGCCTCCAGGCTCTCGTGGCTTACAAGGCCTTCAAGGATTACCAGGTCCTCCTGGTAGGCCTGGTGAAAAAGGTGACATCGGCATTCCTGGTTGGATGGTAAGTTGATACTAAATCGAAATAAATTATTTTAAAAATGGCTGTATAACAACTACCTACGAAAGGCTTTGAATCGAATGTGGCTATTCAGGTATTGTATTTTTATCGAACTTTGTGAATTACATAATCTTTCTGTTTTATGCTCTCTGTAGAACTCAAAGGTAAAAAATAGAAATAAATATTGTGTTCGTTAATTTTAAGAGAATTAAAGTAACATATCGAAGGGAAATCTTTCTATTTATAGGGAAGGCCTGGCACTCTAGGACCCCCAGGTAACCCAGGACCAGCAGGTCCTAAAGGGGAGAAGGGGGACCCAGGCGTTAACATTTTGGATGTTTCTATGGTAAGTAAAAAAACATTAGATAAAAATTTGTCGAGTCACCTGTTTAATAAAATATGACAATAGTAATCTGAGTTTAATAAAATATGACAATAGTAATTTGATGACGTAAGTTACAAATTAACTATCACAGCACTTATTATTATTCTGTGCTATCACTGGCACAGAGGCACTAGTTGCACTCAATATTTTAAAGCTTACTAGCAGTTTTACAGATTTTCTATGCTTAACTTTTTGGATCTTAGTTATTCATTACAATATTTGACTTGAAATAACTGACCGTATTTATATTTGCATTCATCTTTTATGACAGTTCAAAGGTGAAAAAGGAGACCGAGGATTTGACGGACTCCCCGGTGTACCAGGGTCTCAAGGTCCCCCTGGTCCTCCCGGTCCTACAAGCTCTCTGTCAGACCCAGTCCGATACATACCTGGCCCTCCAGGACCACCAGGCCCGCCAGGTCCACCAGGCCCTGCTGGAGCACCAGGCGCAACAGTAGTAGGACCTAAGGGAGAACCCGGATCGAACTACCATGAGGAATACCCGGTGCATGGAAACACCAAACTTTATGGGCGGCCAGGTATGTTCTGTCTAGAATTGATTCTTTTATTAAAGTTTAAGGTGTCAAAATTTTAATAATGACAATTAAACAGGCTTCTAATTGAAAAATAATTGTTTCTAATGTGCTTTGTATTAAATTTCTTTGAAATTATAGTAGTAATTTTGACATAATAATTTGAATTTACACGCTGCTGGATCAGTGATGAAAAGTGCTCTCGATGAGTTAAAGGCTTTGAGAGAGTTAAAAGATCTTAAAGATAAAGAAAAGGATAGAGGTAAGTTTCCTACGATGATACATCTTCCTAAATTAAGATGATACCTACTTATCTTCCAAAATAAAGTTTTACTACTTATGAAAATATTGTAATGTCGACCTTATTACTTAATAATAGAATAAATTTTATATTACCAAAGGATCGTACGCGCATACAAGCTACAACCCCAATACACATTCCGATGACTCCAACACGGGCAGGAATCAAAATAATATACCAGGAGCTGCTGTGTTCCAAACTACGGAAGAAATGCTAAAGGTAATTATTTTAATTAAAACAGTATTAATGATGTCCGTATGTATCCTATGTCCCTTGCAACAGTTAACATTTTAAGTCCCAAGTCATCATGATTAGATAAGACTATTAGATACGACAATATTTTGCAAGTCATTTTAAGGTAGAACCTACCCTTTAGAATTTTTGGATGTATTTCCAAAACTGTTTTCAACAGCTTCATTTCAGAATCCATAAAAATGAAACCGTCTAGTTATGGTATATTTTTGTTGTAGTTGGCATCATCTAGCCCAGTGGGATCTTTGGCGTACGTGGTGGAAGAACAAGCGTTGCTCGTGAAAGTCAACTCTGGCTGGCAATACGTATCGGTAAGGTTTATTGTGTATTCAATTTGAATGTTAATATTTATTTTAACTGCCTAAAAGACCAGCAGTCTTCGTCATTAAGTGTCAAGGTCTTTGACTTCCACAATGATAAGGCTGCTTTATTGGAACATACATTTTATCATAACAACGATGTAGTACTGCATTGAGCGAAAATCTTTAAATAATAATATGATGAGAAAGTAATATCATTTTTTTCATCAGCTGGGGTCTCTAGTGACCCACCAAGCACCAGCCGTGCCGACGCCTCCGCAGGCCACTCCACCCATGCCTGCAGCAAGCCTGGTCCATGTACCACCAATTTCTAACTTGGTGGACAACTCTCCAGGAGCTAATGGACCTAGTGTAAGTTCTTGTAAACCTCCTTTTTAACAGCTGGGGCCTCTAGACCCACCCATGCCTGAAGCCAGTCTCGTTCACGTGACATGATCGATTTTATTATTTCAGAGAAACCAATTTATCGATTGCTCTTTGGAATACCTTTTATTATGAAACCTATTATTTTACTCGAAATCGTGATTCATCGAAACACCAGTAGGCACATTTCATCGGGAATTATTATTAATTATTTGGCCAATTTTGTGTTTCTCCGAAGTTAAGACGTTAAGCCTAGGCGCAGACCACCGATTTTTAGTCGGCCGATAGTTGGACCCGATTCTAATTTGTATGAAGAATCAATCGGTGTAAAGTGCGCACTACATAATCCATACTGTTAACTGCCCGACTAAACTATCGGTCGACAAAAAATCGATAGTCTGCGCCTAGGCTAACACCTGTGCAAACACTTTTTCTAGTCATATTGTGATTGATAATGTGCTTTTCCCACAGCTTCGATTAGCAGCACTCAACGAGCCCCTCTCAGGCAACATGCACGGGGTACGAAGAGCAAACTACGCATGTTACAGACAAGCGAAACGTGCCGGCTTGAGAGGCACCTTCACCGCTTTCCTGACTAGCAGGTGAGTCAACAACAACTTGTAGCTTAATACCTCGTCTTTGTAAAAAAAAAAGAACACACGAACGCAGTTACAGGAACAGATTTTTGGGAGGAAAACATAATCAGAAAAACTGGAAAAATGTTGAGACCTATCACCAATATTCACGTAACTGAATTCACGTCTCGATGCGCAATATTTTCAACCGACTTCAAAAAAGGAGGAGGTTCTCAATTCGACCCGTATGTTTTTTTTTTCTATGTTTGTTACGCGATAACTCCGCCAATTATGAACCGATTTGAACAAATTTTTTTTCGGCGTATAGGTAATACCTCAAGGGTGGTCCCATTTAAATTTAATAATAGAAAAAACAACCCCCAAGGGTGGAAAATTGGGGATGAACTTTTTTATACGCAATATCTCCGCCGATTATAAATCAATTTGAACGGTTATTTTTTTGTTGAATAGGTATTATCAAAAGGGTGGTTTCATGCGAATTTGAAGAAAATATTTCACCCCCAAGGGTGGAAAATCGGGGATGAACTTTTTTATACGCAATATTTTTAATTTTTAGTTTTTTTTTGTGTTCACGCATTTGAAGTCGGGTTTATTTTTTTAAAAAGTTAATTATTTTCTAAATTAAACAATGTTTGGGAGAAGACAAACCAGGACTTTCAATCATCTTTGTATAATGGTCTCCCCTTAAACAATTGCTCTAACATGTGATTTTAAATTAATCGTATATTTTACAGGATCCAAAACCTAGACACAATAGTGCGGTACGCAGACAGACATCTGCCGATTGTGAACACCCAGGGCGATATGCTGTTCAAGTCTTACTCTGACATCTTCGATGGCAATGGAGGCATCATGGCGGCTTCTCCAAGAATATACAGCTTCAATGGGAAAAATATTATGACGGACTCGCATTGGTAAAGGAATTATAAAATCTTACAATAAGGATACAAAGTATTTGACTGTCGTGTTGTGGCACCTTATTTAGGTATTTGTTGTTGCTATAAGGTGTAATATTGCAACGCAGAAACTATGATAAACAGCATCAAAATGTTCTTCTTGCTTTGCTTTATCTTTACTCTACTATCCTATCTACTATCCTCTAACGTAGCTGCGATTGTGGATACAATTAAGTATAGACTAGCTTCCTAAAAAATTTTTTTTAGTCCGTCATGTTTAAATCAAAAAATATTGGACACCTATATTTTTATTTGTCAATCTAACAAATAATTATATAGTTATGGTGCGTTGAAGTTCCGCGCGACGTCACAAAGTGCGGCACTTTTAAGCAGTCATTGACGTCACGGGCCTTTTCTTATAATTTAATTATAAAACTTTATTGCACAATAAAATAGTACAAAAGGTGGACTTAATGCTATTTAAGCATTCTCAGCCAGTCGACCCCTGGGTTATGCAGAAAGCTGTGTGTGCGAAGGTAGAGGTAGAAGGGTAGAAGTTAAAATTGAAGTTAAATTTTTAATTGATATGATATTTAAGATACATATACCTACGTCCTACATACATACATACATATATACAGATACATACAAACATATAATATAAATAAATATAATTAACATATAATACCATATAATATGTGATAAATAAATAAACAATATTACGCAATCATGTGGAAAGGTGTTTACGTCTTATGAAATTTGGCGCGCTTTATCTCTTTAAATTTTCATTAGTTTGAAAAAGTGAAAAATACGTGTAGAGTATTTTTTGATAAGTTAACTCACGGACTGATTAAAACTCTTGCTTTTTGACCCAAGAAACATCCATATTACCGCGGGCAATTGAAATGTATGATGATTCTATGTGCACACAATATTTTATTTTTATTTTTATCTGAATAGTGTCCACTCATAATGTGGTCAGAGGACCTCAGAAATATTGCAGGAAGCCACAGGATGCAGATTTCCACCCGGTCAATCTAGGAATCATTGGGGGTATTCCGCTGTGGGAGTGGGTGTCCAATGGCTGATGATAGAAAAGTTATGATGATGATGATTTATGTTCTGTTATCTAGTCATCATAATAATCCACATACCAGCTTTTCCTAAGCAAGCTAGATTAGCAAGCAAGCTGTGAGGCTAGATTGTTGGAAAACTGATATCGAAACCGAATACTAATCGCACTTATAAACAGGTATACTACATCATCTTTTTTGTATCTTTTGACAGGCCCCAAAAGATAATATGGCACGGGTCCCATGCGAGTGGTGAGCGGGCCTTGGATACTTTCTGCGATGAGTGGCAGTCAGACGACCCGAACCGAAGAGGCATGGCCGCCTCGTTGTACTCTCACAAACTGCTTTCACAGGAAAGGTACGCACTTTGATCCTATATTATGCTGACACCTTAAGTAGTTATAACACGGAATTGCTAAAATCAAGTGGCAGTTAGCAGGGAGGGCACATTGCTCGTAGAGCTGATGACCTCTGGGGCAGAAAAGTTCTGGAGTGGCGACCACAGGCTAGAAGACGTAGTGTGGGCAGTCCCCCTATTAGGTGGACCGACGATCTGGTGAAGGTCGCGGGAAGTACCTGGATGCAGGCAGCGCAGGACCGTTCGTTATGGAAATCCTTGGGGGAGGCCTTTGTCCAGCAGTGTCATTTGGATGAAACGAAAAAGTTTATCTTTTTTTTTTCTTGCAGATACACGTGTAACAACGAGTTCGCAGTTTTGTGTATAGAAGCTACATCAACGCTTAATTTCCGCAAAAAACGTGATATATCTAGGTAAGTTGTTACTTGTTACGTATTTTAAAGTTATTCTAAACTAAGCAGAAAAACAATTCACTGCTGAATATTTTTTACTTTCATTAAATTATTTTAATCAGCAGTTACTTACCTAGCAATTTTATTAACATTTCTCTTTAATTTTCTATCATTTTGTTTTTCAGCGTGAACGCGACGGGAACATTGGACGACGAAGACTACCTTTACAACGCAGAAGAGTATCAACAGCTACTTAATGAGATATTTGCTCAACCGTTCAGAGAGAACTAATCAAATTGTGCCATCGCACAAAGCGATCAATTTTCAACCCAATCACAATGAACTTGAGTTCATTATTCAAGCACTGGCTTCGTAGTTACACGAGCCAAGTTTTGCAACGAAAGACAATTATTTTTTATTAAATGAGATTATTCAAGTTATGCTTGGTGTTCAAGAGAGATTCCTATTAAATAAGCTAGTAAGCTTAAGCCATTGAAAGTTACTATAAACTTATGTATGATGATGTGTTTGTACGCGAGTTTTTATCTAATGGTCGTGGTAGAGTTGTAAATAATTTATTGAATCTTATTCATTGAATATACCCAATGATACGTAGATAATGTGTCTTTTTATCTGACTGTACTTTGTAATACGATAAAAATGTAAAACATAAATGCGAATAATCATATAAAAATCTATTTATGTCCGATACCATGTTTGTGCAATATGAAGTAGATGCAATAATAAATAAATGTTCATAATATTTACGCAAATTAAGACACTAAAGTCATTCTAGTGAATTTTATTAGTGTGTTATTATTTACAATTGTATGTATAATGTAAGTGATACAAATTTAAGTTATACTTAAGAGCTTAGTTTGGAGGTTGTAAATATTATTTTAGATAATTTTATTAATAATAATATAAATAATTGCAGGACTGTCTTTCTCATCCACCGTTTTTAAACAAACTTCTGATATTCTCAAATCATACAATACATACTACCTTTCATAATTTCTAAAATGTAAAATTGTATTTTAATTCGATCAAATTATTGGTAGCATACCTTAATTATGGTACTTGTCTCAAACTCTCGTGTATGAGTAATATAATTATTAAATTATATTTACTTGCCCTCTTATGGAAATAATAATTTTCAAATTCAAATTAAAATGCAAACTTTCATAACTAAATCATTAAAAAAACTGTTCATTTACCTGACATTTCTAAACTGTAGTAACTAGACATATTAACTACAATTCTAAAATTGATGAGTCATAAAGTTACCATTAAAAAACTTCAGCAATTCATTGTATTGATTTTAAGTTTTAAGTCAGCAAAATGCAAGTATTTGTTATTAAAATAAGATAAAAACTTGGCCCTAATACTACACACACTATATTGTAGAGGCAGTATTTACACGTGTTTTTGCTTTTACACACGCAGATAGAATTATGACAGAGAAGTACTTACATTCAAGTTTTTAAGAAAAAAGTATTATGCAAAATTGTAACCAAACTAAAAAATTACACGACAGATAAGGGAAGTAAAATAAAAATATTTATTAAGTAAAAATTTACAATGCAAAGGGGAATTAGATTTTTTTTTATGCTAGACAAGGCAGGTATTTGACCGCAATCGCACCTGGTGATAAGTGAGATGCAGTCTAGAATTAGAATACTTTTAATTATGGTTCAACCCCGTATGCCTTTTCCAGGTTATGACTATGTTTGTTAAGTCTGCCCTGACATGTTATTGCCAAAATTCCATGGAAATGTTTCATGTTTATTGAAAAACTTTTTTTTGAATACAGATGTAGATTTCTGAGTACATTTTGCCAAATTTTGACAAGTAACATTAATTATCACTAACATGACATACCGACAAGCATTTATGAATGTATTTTAGGCTAAGCGCTTATTGCATCGAATAGATTGGTGTATTATAAAACCGACTGTATTTAAACATCTAAGTTGAATAAATGTTTTCACTTTAGAAAAGTATTTTGGTTTTCCCTTGACTTAAATTAGTGAATAGAAAGTGTAACAACCAATTTTAATTGATTCATTTATGTCTTTGTACTCAATCGTTAATTAGGTACAGTCAAATTAATAGCCAATAAATTATTGTCCTAAAGCATCGAAAGAGTTTAACTGGGATCTGTAAAAGTATTTTTTAAAAGTTTAATTGTAAAAAAAAATCTATTTTTACAATAAAAAAATCAAAAAATGTGAGAATAAAATTATCATCCATTTTCAAAATGTAAAGTCTTAGGCTGGGTTGCACCATATTACTTTAACTTTGACAAACGTCAAAAATCTGTCAACCTCCATACAAAAAAATATGCGGTATGATTATTTTTTATTTATTTATTTTTCCTATATTTGCATTATAGGTAGGTACCTACCTCAGCGTTTTGAATTTTTGCGTTGATTTAGAATTTCTCACAGTTTAGAGGCAATTAGATTTAAGAAGTGTTTGATATGAATTTCAACTTTAATATCTCTACGCGTTCATGTGAAAAAGGGTAGGTAGTAAGTTTATAATTATTAAAAAAATATTTTATGTCATGTAAGCAAAAATAATATTTTAAATTTTATATAACTTCAAATTTATCATTTTCGCAATTTTTCCTTTATCTGTACTATATAACGTTGCTTCGTGCCGAATTTCAAGATTCTGAGTTCACAGGAAGTACCTTGTAGGTTTTGATTCCCTAGCGTGTGACGGAAATTCGTCTAAGGTGTCGGTATAAACTGCTGTATCTTTTGATCGCGTTAACTTAGAAGTTTGATTTTTTTACTTCTTAAAGGGACAATAGATCTAGGTATTTGGTATAAATTTCAATTTGATACCTTTATTCGTTCGTGAGAAATAAGGTAGTAAGTTTCATTTTATTAAAATATTTTTATTATATTATATAACTAAAAAAATGTAATTTTCGCAATTTTTCCTATATTTGCATTATATGACAATGCTTTATGCCAAATTTCAAGATTCTGAGTTTACGGGAAGTATCCTGTAGGTTTTGATTCCTTTGCGAGTGTCGAAAATTTGTTGAAAATATCGACATAATCGGCTGTATCTTTTGATTGGCTTGGCTTAGAAGTTTGATATTTTCACAGCTTAAAGGGACAATAGACCTGAGTATTTCATGTGAATTTCAGCTTGATACGTTCACGCGTTCTTGAGATAAAGGGTCTTGACAGACGGACGGACGGACAACAAAGTGATCCTATAAGGGTTCCGTTTTTTCCTTTTGAGGTACGGAACCCTAAAAACACCGGTTATCGTTATAGTTACGGTCAAAGTTAGGTGGTGCAACCCAGCCTTATATGTGCTTTTGACATACCTAATCCTTTCGACGCTCAGTTATTTCAATATCTTACACTAGAGGGCACTGATTGCTTTAGTCAGCAACGGTACGGTAGGAATTTAAAATGGCCGTCCCAGGACTTTAGTGATAAGGCTTGTTTTACACGTAGCTACTTACCATAACCACACCACACCGCGTCGCTATGTACAAAGTAAGTAGTTAATCTGGGGTTACGTGTGTATAGTGTCGCTGTGATTTCTTGCAGTTGCGTTATGGTACCTACAAAATAATTACGAGTGTGGTTACATTATCATGGTGTCGCTAGTAGCTGCGGTGTGATCTGTATTTAAAAGAAATAAGAAACCAATGAACATTTTGTGTTGCAAATGTTTTAATATTTATTCTTCTATTCAGGCAGGATAGAGACAATTAATACAACAAATCATAAGCTATGAAAATCGGTCCCGCGCGTCGTTCTCGAGCTAAAAGTGCTGGCTAAGTGCGGTATTCGATTGCCCTGCAAAACTAACTAACTAACTAAAGTGCTGGAACAAGCCCGATTTTGTTTTATACCACCCACGTATTGTGGTCGTGGTACCGGTACCTACATGTGGAACAAGCCTAACATCCGCACCTGGTTGCACATCAATTAATCTGCCAGTCGCACAGCAAAGCCGCTATCTTCACGGATTGGTTGCTAACCGATGACTTCAAAGGGAACTGCGTTTGAGAGAAATAATTTAGGCATTGCTATTTGGATAATATGTCATTTTAATGTTTTAAAGCCTGACTAGGTAAGTACTACATAATAACACAACAAAATATAATAGCATTATTACGGTACAATAAGTCTCATTTGAAAGTAAATACAAACGAAAGCACATCAAGCTCAAGACTGTGGCTTTTTTTAACAAAAATGTATAGTCAGATATGCTATGGTCTGTACAAATGTTGATTTAAAACTGCAATAACTTTCTGTACTCCAACCGTCATCAATCTTACATATTTAACTTATATAAATAAATCAGTATTTAAAATAATTATGTAAATGAGTAAAGTAAAAAAGTAGATTGTGCAGTCACAATAACAGACTTTTTTACTTTACTCGTCTTTTGAACTTAAGGGGGAGTCCTCCAACGAAACCCTCGGAAACTGTTCCAGAAGGATCGGGTATGGGGTTCCGTACACTGCAAGCAGCGGGTTCCACGGTGAATTTGTGCAAGACTGCGGCGATTCCAGCCATTGATTGCATTTGACCTAGTCTGGCACCTGCAGAAAAATATTTTGGAAATATACATTTAGCAGTCAGACAAAACCTGACCGACAACCTGATAAAGGTAGCAGGAAGACGCTGCATGCAGGCCGCTACCAACTGTGCGATGTGGAAGTCATTGGGGGAAGCCTATGTTTAGAAGTGGACGTCCTGTGACTGAAATTATGACGCTGATGATGAGACACACAAACATCTAATAGCTCCCAAGATGAACAGCGAGAAAAATAAGTGTTTCAAGGCATAGAAAAGTGTGGATCAAATTATGGAAAAAGGTCAGCAGTTTGTTTTTATTTTTCTTTCAGTAACGAGCGATCTATCAGCCACTGTTTAAAAATCATGATGTTGACTTTAAACATAGTACTAGATACCTACGAGTTTCTTACATTGTAGTCTTTTGTAAATAACATAAGTAAATTACTCTAACTAAAGTAGGTAGGGTGCTTCGTTGAACAGTGAACCAGCCTTTTTTTTCTAAATGCTCTAATTAGCTGGAAGCTACCGCTCAACAAGAGTCAAGACTTAGAAAATTTTGATGACAATAAAATAGTCACTTACCCACACAAGCTCTAGGCCCCTCTCCAAATGGCAAAAACACAAAGTTTTTAATATCCTCTTTGGCACCAAAACTGAACCGCTCAGGGTCAAACTTGTTTGGTTCACGGAAATACTTTTCATCCATTTGTATCGCCTGTATAGGTACCATTACTCTTACATCTTCATTTATGGTTACATTTATTTCAGGAATCGTGTATACTTTTGATGTACATTTACGAGCTAAATATGCTACGGATGGATACATTCTCATCGCTTCATAGAAACACATCTCTAGGTAAGTCATTTCTTTCACTGCATCGTAAGTTATTATATTATTGTATTTCTCCAAAACACTATCGATTTCTGCTTGGACTTTTTCTTGGCAATCCGGATTAAATGCTAGCTGATGTAGAGTATAACTTGAAGCAGTTGAAGATGTTTCAAAACCAGCACCAAAAAATACAAACGCTTGCGCTGTCATCAATAAATCAGTCAATTCCATTGAAACTATTTCTGGTTTACCATCAGCATCTTTCTTTTCAATTGACTCCCCTACCATAGCTCCCTTTTCTATATATATTATAAGATCGATAAAATCATTTCGACCAGAAGGCTTGAAATTCCTTTCTTTCATAACTGTTTGCATTAGAGTTACCATTGTCTTTTCTAGTTCTGGTGCTAAAAAGTACCAGTGCTTAAATAGTTCAGGAAATATCAGTTTTAGGGCAGCAACAAAGACATCCCTAGGCTGTCTTTCAAATATTCTCTTCCCTAGTTTCCTGAATTGAGAATTTTCATCATTCAACGAATCCATATTAATTCCGAATCCGCATTCTCCGATAAAGTCAGTTGTGTATCGGGCCATCAGCTCACGAGCATCATAGTGATCTCTATTGATGATGTCTTCTGTAATAATTTGAAGCTTCTCTGCCCTTTTTGTAATCAAGGGGAACATTGCCTTCAACTTTCCGGTACTAAATGCAGGTGTAAATCGTTGCCTAATCAAACGCCAGAGATCACCATCGGCGAAAAACAAGTTCTTTAGCAATGGTTCGATGACAGTTTTGTGGGGATTGAATCCTCTTGCGTAAAAGTGTTGGAAGTCAGTAACTAAAATCCTTTTTGCAATTTCTGGATCTCTTATAAGAAGTTCAGGGGTAATCCCTCTATAGAATCCAACGACTTTTTCATTGGGATATTTCTTATAAGTTTCTGTAGCTATCATAGCTAGGCTCGCTCTTTGACAAAACTGCATAAGGTTGTTCCCAAGAAAAGGTAAGGGTTTGTCATGTTTAATGCCTCTTTGTTTCCAATAATTGAAAGTTCTTGTACCATAGAAGTATAAAGCCACTGATAAAACTAACACAAATATAATTAAAAACATTTTTAAAGCTAAAGAACTCGCGATGCCCCTCGTGAATTTAAATAAACTAATGCGAATTTACGGAATTTTAGATAAATGATAATTGTATTAACAGTTGAGCTGATATTTGCTATGAAATCCTATTATGTAATCAAAATGGGTTCCGTCATTTTAAATGACGTGTTTTTTACATAATTATGAAACTACCCGAATTACCGCAATAAGTATAGTTTCCGTTGTATTCTATGTTAAAAAAGGTCTACTACGAGTCCTATTAGCAATTTTTGTACAATGTAATGTCAATAATATTAAGAGTAACTGGCCTGGCAGGAATTAAAACATTAAATGATATGTTCACAATTATGACAAAATGAGATCATGGGAAGGTCATACCAAGGCTATAAGACATCTTTCAATATTTATTCGAATAAATGTTATATTTCCTCTGCCTACAACGGAACCCTAAAATAAACTTTATCATAATTATTATGGTGAACACTATCGCACACTTATCGTATTTTTATCAAATCGATGTTATTGTCTCTATTCAATAAATTATTACATTATAAATATCACGGTCACAATGACTTCTTTCAATGACTATCATTTATTTTTATTGACAGAAATAAAATAAAATAAAGTCCAAGATACTGCTATAAAATTATGATATGAAGAGTTTTTCACCTGCAAGTTAGGATTCAAACAATTATTCATTTATATTCTTTTATTCTTATTCTTTCAAATATTAGGGGAGAGTTCGGTATATTGTACCGCCGGGTAAATTGTACCACCCTCATATTTCGTAAAGTATTTATTGAATGTCTGTAATTGCAACACTCAGCGATACACAACTAAAATCAATTAATATCGGCCATGTGGTTTTTGCCGTGACAACAAACACGTGTGTTTTATTTTGAAAAGTATTTTTTCATTGTTTTCAAGTAACTTTTGACAATACATGTTTAGTTTGTAATTTTGTTAAATTTAATCACAGGGTGTTTCTAATATATTATTTAGAAGCGTAAATTAGTGTGGATTACAATTATTTGAAACATTTTTCGGTATTTATAAGCTATATTTTTTACCGATTTTTTAAAAGCACTATCACCTAGTCGGCTAAATTGTACCACATCAAGTTGTATGGAACTTTACCAAAGGATTTTGAATTTTTTTTTAGTAAATCATATTTTGAAGTTATAATAGCGTAGTTATGTTTGACTAACAATAAATGAAAGCAAAAGACTGGCAAAGTAGATTAGGTACAAGTGTGCGTTACGATAATTGGAATAACAAAACTTGTACTCAAAATCGTGATAACGTGTAAAACAATATCGATTGTCTATGTTATTAACCACTGTTCCTTTTCGTTTCCTAATTTGTTAAGAATGTATCGTATAATATTTTGCCATCGTCTTTTTATAGGCTTGAAATTTATTGAAATCCAATTTAGTAACCCTGTGGTACAAATTATCGAACCGGTTGGCTAAATTGGACCGAAGCTCTGAACTCGTACTTTGTTGATTTGTGCTAAATATACAACAATCATGTTAATTAATACTTATGAAATAGTAAGTTGAATAATGTATCTTTTATTATATACCATGGACATTAGCAAAAACAAAACAAAACTATGTGTAAAATGGGATTGAAAAAAACTGGTCCAAATTAGCGGACTCTCCCTTAATCATTGATATCTATATATATAAAAGAAAGTCGTGTTAGTTACTTCGCTTATAACTCAAGAACGGCTGAACCGATTTAGCTGAAAATTGTCCGGGAGGTAGTTTAGAGCCAGGAGAAGGACATAGGATACTTTTTATCCCGTTCGAAATTAAAGAAAAGTCTGCTTATTTATTGCCATTAAGGCGGAACAAAGTTTGCCGGGTCAGCTAGTCTATTATATAAAAGAAAGTCGTGTTAGTTACTCCACTTATAACTCAAGAACGGCTGAACTGATTTAGCTGAAAATTGTCAGGGAGGTAGTTTAGAGCCAGGAGAAGGACATAGGATACTTTTTATCCCGTTATTTATTGCCATTAAGGCGGAACAAAGTTCGCCGGGTCAGCTAGTCTTTTCATAAACAAATAACATGTTTATCTTACATAAAGCATACACAATTTAAAGGTTAAATAAGTAAAATAAATTAATGGAGATTATTTTTATATTTTAATAACATTAATTAACACTTAATATAAATAACAAACAGTACAGTACACCCTTAGACCTAAAACAAAATAGCGAAAGACATCAATTTTTGACTCGTCTTCTGAATTTCAAGGGGAGTCCCCCAACGAAGCCTTCGGACACTACTCCTGTAGGGTCCGGTATAATATTCTGCCGACTACAAGCAGCAGGTTCTACTGTGAACTTGTGTAGAACTGCAGCCAGTCCTGCCATGGACTGCATTTGGCCTAAGCGAGCACCTGGAAAAAAAGAAATAAATCAATTAGTATTTATTTATTTATTTAAACTTTTATGCCAAAAAAAAATTGTACATAAGGCGAACTTAATGCACTGAAGCATTCTCGACCAGTTTACCTTTGGGTTGAGCAGAAAAGAAATTTGTTTGGCGGTACTTCTAGTGCAGGAAAGAAAAACAAAACAAATAATAATATGCTACATACATAAATAATATATAAAATATATAATAAATAAATACATACATAAAATAGATGATTGAGTTAAACTGAAATTACAATTCATGAAGATGAAATCTAATAGTATAATACTTTTTAAGCAGAATATTATTGTTCTTGAAATTCTTTTGAGACATTATCTTTAATTTCTATCTTTACTGAGCGACCACAAACTAACATTGAACTGTTAGTTCAAAAAAGGCACAATACATAATTTATTATGGTATCCTCTTTTTGATAAAATAAAAACCCATAATGAAACACACGACTTCGCGAATTTAAGGGAATTTCAGATATAAATGAATTAAATTTGCCATATCTGAGAGTGAATGCACTCGACATGTGCTGAATCAGTTATTATCAAAACGATAGAAAATCACTGCAAGGATGACAAGACAATTTATGCGCAAAAAATTAATTCTGTTACAAATGTTTTGAAGGATAATCGTCATTTTATCAGCTTGGTACGTAACGACTTTATAATATTAACTGATTACAAAAATGCTAATCGTAATAATGAATAAAGATTAATAAAAAGTGTTTAAATTTTGAAATAATAATTTTAGCACTAAAACTGTTATTATTGAAGTCATTAGCATATTTCGATGGGTGCCGGGAATAAAGCCACAATCGACAAAACACAATTTTACAGGAGAAGAGATTTAGTGTCAATTTTGAATAATTCTTAACTACGAGGCGTATCAAAACGGTTTGTATATCAAACGATGCGTTATTTTTTCTGGAGTAACATTTAATGTGCTTAAGGTTATAGTGCTTAGAATATACTTTAAAAAAGGTAGAAATACATATTGCCGGTATTATTCCGGTCAACAAATTTTAAATGATGAATGGGAATAACGATTCAATATCCATAGTGCTTTTGGTAAATCAGGCAGTTTCAAAGATAAAATTCTGAAAAAAATTCAAAAGGTGTATAGGGACTCGCAGTTTACTAAAATCACTTAATCGGAAAACTGCTGCTATGGCTATTGCGGCTTTATTCCAGGCACCCATCGATTTGTTTTTATTTTTCCTTTGCCTTCTAGTAGCCGTAGGTACCGCTAAACGATTTTTTTCTGATTAACCCGAATGTAAACTGGTCGAGAATGCTTTAGTGCATTAAGTTCGCCTTATGTTAAATTTATTTTGCATTGAAGTCTAAATAAATAAATAAATAGTCTGATCTACGAGTGGTTACGGTTGTGGGTCCATTGTTTAAAGATTTTCGTGTGATGAGCATTTAAAACCCTTAGTTATAAATTTTTTGTCGTAATAGGTATTTATAATATCTGTAGGTAATAATCTAGTGACAATAGTAAAAGTAACTGAAAATTCGAAAGTACTTAGTTGTAGAGAATAATAGCAATGTTTTACATACCAACACAAGCTCTGGGTCCTTCTCCAAATGGCAAAAATACAAAGTTCTTTATGTCCTCTTTGGCACCAAAGCTAAATCTTTCAGGGTCAAACTTTGTAGGTTCTCTAAAGTATTTTTCATCCATCTGTATTGCTTGAATAGGAATAATAATCTTGACATCTTCGTCGATGGTCAGATTTATCTCTGGAATCGTATATTGCTTACTGGTGCACATTCTCATCAGGTACGCCACTGACGGATACATTCTCATTGACTCATAGAAGCACATTTCAAGGTAAGCCATGTCTTTAACAGCGTCATAAGTTAATTTGTTATCATATTTTTCTAATACACTATCTATTTCGGCCTGCACTTTTTCTTGGCAATCTGGATTGAAAGCCAATTGGTGCAATGTGTAACTTGAAGCGGTTGAAGATGTTTCAAAACCGGCGCCAAAGAACACAAACATTTGTGACATCATCAACAAATCCGTCAATTCTAAAGTAACAATCTCTGGTTTACCATCAGCATCTTTCTTTTCGATAGATTCTCCAATGATTTCTCCTTTTTCTTTCAGCTCCAGCAGGAGATCTACAAAATCATTTCTGCCAGACGGTTTGTAATTTCTTTCTCTTACAACAGTCTGATACAAATGAGTCATTGTCGTTTCTAGTTCAGGTGCTAAAAATGTCAAATTCTTACACATTTCAGGAAACATTATTTTGAGAGCAGCACTTACACCATCTCTTAATTTCCTTTCAAAAATCCGTTTTCCGAACGCTCTAAATTGTGAATTTTCAGCGTTAAGTGTGTCCATGTTGATCCCAAAGCCACATTCTCCAATAAAGTCAGTCGTGTACCGAGCCATCAATTCGCGAGCATCAAAATGATCTCTGTTTACAATCTCTTCTGTGAATAGTTGTAAGTTTTCTGCTCTTTTCGTAATAAGTGGGAACATAGCTTTCAGTTTTCCAGTACTAAATGCGGGAGTGAATCTTTGTCTTATTAAACGCCATAAGTCACCATCAGCAAAAAATAAATTCTTCAACAAGGGTTCGATCACTGTTTTGTGAGGATTGAAACCTCTGGCGTAAAAGTGTTGGAAATCAGTTACCAATATTCTTTTAGCTATTTCTGGATCTCTTATTAATAACTCAGGAGCAGTACCTCTGTAGAACCCAACGACTTTCTCATTTGGGAACTTTCTGTAAGTTTCCGTAGCCATCATTGCCATACTTGCTTTTTGAGCGAAATTCTTCAAGTTGGTCCCGACAAAAGGCAATGGCTTTTCATGTTTAATGCCCCTTTTCTTCCAATAATTAAATGATCTGGTTCCATAATAATACGACACAATAACAAAAACAATTGCCACTGCTATAAATAATATCATTTTGCTCAAAAACTGTACACACGCTATCACAGATAAACACAAACTCCGACTGTCGAATTACTGTTGAAGTATGTTTTAAAGCGTAACAATCGGACAGTATCACAATTGGTTCCGTATCTTTGTTAAGGATATAATACGAGAGGGGGCCGTAAATTACCCTACGTTACTTGTCTTGATACTAAGATAAGCTCCATGGCTCACGTTCAGAAAAGTTGTGATAAGCTTGGAATAATAAAGTCCGATTTGGCGGAAAGTACAAAAAAACGTGATTTTGTCAGGTTTTTGTTTCAAATTAATAACGGCAACTATATGCTTATACCTACAACTATTTACATAGTATTTAGTTATAGATTGCCTTCTTGGTACGAATTAAAGTTTCTTAGGTACCTGCTAACGGAACCCTGCTTCTGTAATTTCGTTACGTATTGTATACCACGTATGTATACCACGAACGAGTTCCTCAAGGTCATTGTGTGAGGATATTATGTTTGTCTAAATTTAGAATTAAATATTTAACCTTTTGCCAGGTCGTCATCAAGTTTATGCCACTAATATTTGTTTTTACTATTTTGGATGGTTTCATTTTGGTGACCTTGAGCACGATGTAGCGGGAGACCGAAGGTTTCTTCTTTCAGTATGGCAAGCAGATGGTACACATATAATATGGACAAAACATTTTGACAGGCTCATATTCAGTACTTTATAAATAGACACGTGTAAATACTTATAACATGATTAGGCAAATTCTGAAATATATCTGATTTGATACTACGAGTAGGTACAATGAGTCGTCAAAGATTAGAGCCTGGCGGAATTTGAACCATAATCACGATTTAGTATTGTGTAAGTAACTACCAACCACGAACAAAACGTAATATGTAATAGCAGATCAATATTCTATGACATTAGTCAAATTCCTGTTGCTGATAAAGTAAATCCGATACGAGTAAATAGGTATATTTTCATTAGAAATAGATTTACAATAAAAATCCCAACTGTAGAGTCATAATTGAAAAAATATAGTTTTAGCACCTCTATCTTAACTTTTGGCGATCTAACTGACTTACATAGGCCGTCTTGAATAGAATGCATCTGATATGGTTCAGTCACTCATGAGCCTGTGAAAAGCAACACACACACAGAATTCAGAACCTTTAAATCGAGAGAGTCCAGCTCTCTTAACTGGACAATATATACCTAAACTTAGGTACTGCTTTTGTTAGCGAAGATTACGGTAATTAACTACGGGACTAATATTTGCTAAGATTACTTACCTATCCACATTCTTTATAGGTACTAGATAAGTGTGATTAAGTAGTATGGTTTGCGTTAACGTGTCATCAAAATCTGAGATATTCACAAAAGTCGTCACTATACTTTGTATCGAACCAGAGCGAAGATTTTGTATCGACGCAAGGCAACACAATTCATGAAAGCAATATGTAAGGTATCCTAAGTAATTCTGGTAGGAATTAATAACATCTCCACTCAAGAGCCACGTTTGTTCAATAAAGCACGTTGTTACGTACAACGATATTGTTAGCCCGCGGCTGTAGTTAACTGAATCTAGTTCGACTCGCCCCAACTTCGGCTCAATACACTACCCAAATTGTTACAGTTTGGCTTTCAACAAAGTGCACACTGGTGCAAAATTATGAACTGAATTATGTTAACGCAATCACTGAAGCAAAAGGGGTAATATCATAAATTTTAAATAAAAAAATTAAAGCAAGTCTTTTGATGCAACAATAAATTGGTGTCGGTTTCGAACTGGCTGAAACGAGATTCGAACCCGTCACCGGACTGTTCTAGTGAACCCACTCATAATTTAGCTTACAAGTTACTACGAAGAATTAACGGGAATTCTTTAAAAAAAAACACTCCAGCTACTTATAACCTTATCACAATTTTTGTATGTAATTGTTATAGCGAATTTGGAGCGTTTTTTTATCAAAACTAATTAGTTAACTAAGTGAAAAAACATCAACGCAAACTCTAAGCATTAACTCGGCGTATAAATCAGAATACGCGCCGTAAAAAAGCTCGACATCTTTACGCACGAAAAGCAAATACTCAAAACCTCGACACCAAAACATCAACGTAAAAGACCCTAATCCCATAAAAAGCATACAGAACAAATCGCCTCACTCCATTACTTGCTCTTTTTAATCACGAAATTCCCCGTCAAAGTTACCGTGGTGTTGCCACATTAGTCTAATGAAAACTGGAACGTAATACTTTGCAATTAAAGTAAACGTCTGCGCTGGTATTGTGGGCCCAGGGGAAATCAACCGCAGGAGTCTGTAATGCCTAATCTCACATGAGTGGAACGGAACGCGTCCCGCAAATTGACGGCCCTGCCTCTTTGAATGGAAGCACAGTCGAATTGACCTGCTTTGATCACAAAGTATTGCGATGAAAAGGATTTGTTTCAAGGGACCCTGGGAAATGAGTTGATGATTGTGACATACAAGTATCAGAAAATACTGTATGAGTTAAGTACTTTTTAATTATTCAGTTTTTTTCATAATGGTGGCGACGCGTTATAGTGGACAGATATTGCACTCAGAATAAATTGCATTAAAAATTATTGACTTACAAACTTGGCGTTAATTTGTAAACATTTGACAGTGACTAGTGAAAAGTCGGTATATTTAGCCCAGTCTACAAAGCGAGAACCGGTTTTCGGAAGCAATAGCTTTTTAGGCAAGTTATCAAAAGATTAATTTTACTTATGGCCCTATTATTTTTAAGTCAAAGAGTAATTACACTTTCAATTATTCGGAGTTCCTCTGGGAGGCATTACTGGTCCGTTTGAAGTGGTCACCCGGTCGCAAACGTCCGGACTTTGTAACTGAGCTGACCGAGCGGTTGTCAAAGCGAACGGACGCCAGTTGCGGACTTTACCTCATTTCGGTAACTATTCAATAGTTTGGACAAATGCGAGCAGATTTTGGACGTTTATTTCAATTCGAAAAATGTTTCAATGAAATTTTATAGTTTTAAAGATTTAGGAGGTTGGTACCTAATTTCACATTCTGCCGATATAGGTACCATTCTATATTGTCACAAGAATAGTACCTACCTTCTAATACACCAGTAGCGTGGTACTGTTACAGATAATCTAGTACACTATTTTAATTTCTTTAACTTAAAATAGTATACTAGATTATCTGTAACAGTACCTTACGTACCTTTAAACCTTTCTCTGACTTTCTGATACATACTAGAAACCACATCTGACTGTTCTTAATAGAGTTTTTAAATCTAAGTTAGACGTACTTATGTACTTTCTAGTACATAATATTTTACGGCGCTCAAAATAAAAAATACACCTAAGAAAGAAAATGTCAGCCATTTTCCCAGATATTTATTTAGCTGATTAAGTTCATATATCCGACCAGAAAATACCCTCGTTGATTAGTCGACGCGTTTTGTCGGAGCAAACGTATCGAACTAATTAAGATCGTGTACAGCGAGAGCAACTTCAATTACCACGTATACGTGTGGGTTTAGGAAGGATACACACTGAGTGAGGATGCAGTAACAAAATTACAGAACATTTTGTATTTATGTGTATAGAAAGGACAAAACTAAAGGAATATTGACTAATAGGATACTGGTTCTATGTATAAAGTTACGGCCCTGCCTAGACACCAAGTCTCGTCAAAGAAAAAATAAGATAGTAAAATATAAAATTTGATACAATCCTCAACCAGTGCGGTCATTTTACAATTAAATATTTTGCAAAAAAAAAAAACAAAAAATATTTTAGTATTAGATATTTATTAAAAGTAAGCTGGCAGCTCTCCCTTTAAAAAAATAGATCCACACTATTTTTTTTTTAATTGAAGTTGAACAACCGATTGGCCAATTTCTTTATGTTGTAGTTGCCAGTTTTTAACAATAGTGTGTTAACCCCTTAAAACCCGTGTTAGCTGAAAATGTTCTACTTCTAATGATTACAAGTAAACGCGTTCACAGTATAATTAAATGCAGGATTAATTTTATATCAATGTCCTTTTGATAATTTACGTCTTAGTAAGATAATAATAATATGTATTACTAAATCTGATATTTCTTTGTATGTATACTATGTAATACGCAAGTAGATAATATAATACCAGTATCTTATCAAAACTCAGTGGTGGTAACATAACATTAGTAATTTTAAATCAAATGTGTAATATAAATGGTATTTATTTATTTTTATATCTACTTTACTACTTGTTTCGATACCTCAATCTCACAAGAAAAAGTCTCATTTAATGAGAGAATCTATTATGTGATTGCTTTACCTCCGCAAACGCGTAATACATTAATTCTACTGAGAAAAACAGCAGAAAAAATTATCGCATAATAATGTAATCCAGACGCAAAAAAAAGACTGGTCAAATGGAGTTGACAAAAAATTGTGCAATATTTATTTATTATATTATGCATATAATATTAGCACAGATGACATAATTTCAATATAAAAACTTTATTGAATCTGAATACGTATTCGCCCTGTTGCGATGTTCCTCCTCCACATTATCTCAGAACAAACAAACCTTAAGCTTCAGAATTATTGTGTATCTAGTTCCTTTCTACCTTAAATTTACTTGACTCTACCAGCTCCGATATTTAATCCGGCACAATACAAAGCATTCGAAGTGGATGCACTTGCAGTTGATGCCACAGATTATTCTGACCAAAATCAAAATCAAAATCAAAAAATATTTATTCAGTTTAGACCACAAGTGGCACTTATGAACGTCAATAGAAAATAATAAAAAAAGAAAAAGGTAGCCCTTATGGGGCACTTTACATGTCTCCTTATCTTTTGGGCCCTACCAGCGCTTCGAGACAAACACTGATACCAATTAAGGATCTATCATCATTTCAGCCACAGGACGTCCACTGCTGAACATAGGTCCAATGATTTCCAGATTGACCAGCTGCTAGTGGCCTGCAGCGACCTTTATGAAAACAAAACCTTATTGAATCTCCATACGTATTCCTCCCAATATTTCTTTCCTTCTCCACATTATCTGTATCTTCGGAGATATTGAAAAGAACTA